GGTGGTGGAGGATTGTAAGAAGTGCCTTGTGAAGGAGGTCTCCATGAAAAATTAGGGTGATTTCTCCATCCGGGGTTATAGGTATTAGAATATGGGTCATTACCCAAGTTGGAGAATCCTTGAGTAGCATTCACATGCTCTTGGACTAACTCCGGAAATTGTGATGCCGAAGGGCACTCACTCAAGTCATGAGCAGGGCTCGCACATATAGCACATGTGTCGTGAAATTAAGGCTGATCTTACTGTGTAGGGGCATGTCCCGCAGCTAATAATTGGTCCATTTTGCGGGACAATGCCTCTACTAGTTGTGTTGACTCTAGGTTTTGCCCGACCTCATAAATGCCCCCTCTCTTCGGGGCTCCAATTACTGGTTGTCGGACTTGCCGGGCTGCGGAGGCATGGTGAAGGGTATTATCACTTAGGTTCTTAAACAATTGCCATGCCTGGGCATCATTTTTGGACATGAATGTCCCACCACAGGATGAATCCATCATTTAGCAGTGCGGCTCAATTAAGCCATAATAAAATGTTTGAACAATTTGCCAATCAGGCACTTGGTGGTAGGGACACTGTTGAAGAAGGTCACAAAGTCTTTCCCATGTCTCATGAAATTGTTTGCCATCAATTTGAGCAAAATTGGTGATGGCTCGCCTAAGTTGGTTGGTTTTACCTATGGGAAAGTACTTCTCCAAGAACCATTGCTGTAATTGGTCCCAAGTTGTGATTGAATTAGCAGGTAAGGAATTCAGCTAGTGTTTGGCCTTTATCCTCTAATGAGAATGGAAACAATCGCAACATTAAGGCTTCATTTGTGAAATTCTGGATCCTCACTATCGAGCAAATTTCCAGAAATTCATTCAAATATTTGTAAGGATCATCATAAGCTAGTCCATGGAATGATGGGAGCATTTGTATGGGGCTAGACTTAATCTCATAATGAGCATCAGTGGTGTTGGGTAATTGGATGCATGATGGTGATGTATATGCAGTGGGTGTGAAATAATCCTTAAGGGTCCGGTTGGGCACATTCGGGACATTTGGATTTTCCATCTCTAATGACTCAATGTATGAATATGAATATTCAAGCCTAGGAACACGAACAGAGGCTCTAAGTCTCCTAAGAGTCCTTTCTAGTTCAAGGTCCAAACTCCACAATTCAGGACGACAAGAACGGCGCCCGTGCATACACTACTCACACACACACAAAAAGTTCCAACTCTGTGCACTAAGTTACGAAAGCAAAATAACAAAGGGAGAAATATTCACAGCGGATTAACAAAAACGCTTTACTCATCTTGCAAGTGCTTGACGTGTAGACGTTGTCTTCAACCTCTAATTGAGCTTTGTATTTCTTTTTAGCACTTTGGTGCTTTGCTTGCGAGTGTGATCTTCTGTTTAAGCACTTTAGTGTTGCATTTTTTATTTTTTTTTAAAGCTCGGTTGTGCTCTGCTTGCACTTCGATGATAGTTTCCACTTTCAAACGCTCTGCACACTTTAGTAACACGAAAGCATAAAATCCTAAACTAAAAATTAAAATAAGAATATAACTTTAAATTAATTAATTTCGCCAGAAGTCCCGGCAACAGCGCCAAAATTTGATGCGTCGTTACACACCAAAATTAAACACAAAATTACACCAAATTCTTTTAGAATAATGGCAAGTCCAGGTATCGATCCACAGGGACAATTGTGAAATTGAACTAATTTAATTGTTAAATTTCTAAATTAATTTTGATGAAAAAATTGATTGTTCATAACCTAATTTAATAACAAATAAATTAAACTGAGTAATTAAATTATCAATTATAAATAAAATTTGATTTACTGATTTGGGAAAAAACCTAGGGCAAAGAGTCCACCACTAGTCACGTAAATAGGGTTTCCAATTGAAATCAATTATGTTATGGTTCGAACGGGATAATGCTTTGTAACTACAAGTTCAAAGCATTTAATAAGAAAATCATCACGTTCAATGTACGAACACGAACCATCTCAAGTAGTATGAATTGTTCACTTTAAACAAGGGTAGTGACACGACTCGTCCTTCGTAGTATGGTCCGTCTCATACCTTGAATGTGAAAGAATAGAAAACTCTTGTATGGAAGATATTCAACAATCATAGAAAGCTGAATATTTGAAGAAATAATGGAATATATATATATATATATATAAAAAACTTCTAAAACACCATACAATTGTTCAAACCTTTACATAATTGAAAATCAAAAAGAAAAACCTAATTACATGGCTAGGGTTTCATCAAAACCCTAGAAAATAAGACTAGTCACTCATGGATGAGTGGGAAGAGGAAGAAGATGAGGAAGAAAAACCCATAGAAGTGTCCTTGAAGCTTTTTGGAGAAAATCACCTCTTGGAACCCTAGCCTCTCTTTCCTTGCAAAAACAATTTCCGAACCCTAATCCAGCATTTTTCTTGCCTATTTATACTTCTGATGTCTTACAAACAGGTTTAAAGCATCGGGCCCATTTTCCTAGAAAAGTCAACGCACGTGCGTGAAAGTCAACGCACGTGTTTTCTGCAAATTCTGTCTTTTTGCCCATTTTATGCTTCAACTATGTACAACCTGATTGACATTAAACACACATAAAATATACAGTTTGACAGGCAAATAAAGTTAAGAGATCCTAATTAACGGCCTCAATGTTGCACAATTCGGCCTTAATCAATAGTGGATAAGAAATTGGAGAATATGAAAGCAGATGTTCAGATTATTGCATTCTTATTTCATTATTTGTTGATTTTGGCAAAAATATTACACATTGCTTTGTCATTTGCGATTATAGAAGGAAATCCAAGTGAATGTATATTCTCTCCTTTGCTTTGTGGCTTCCGTTGTTATTAATCTCATCTCATAAATGGTTGTAACAAGTTATGGCTCCATGTTCTTAATCAATAGGTCATGATTTTACTACTTGTAAACGAGGAAATATTATGTATTTGTATTGCACACCATATGTTTGTTGTAATTTTTGTTAAAATAGAGATTGTAAATTGTACCCAATTATTTCTTGTATTAGTTCTTCTATCATATTTGACTAAAATATTCATTAATATCCAATTTTGATTGATTATTTCATGAAAACAGGGCTTAGGATATTTCAATATAACAACACTCAATACCAATCATGTGCCATATGAAATTTCAATCTATTTGGTACCAAATCAATTAGAGTTTGGCAGATTGAATAAGATTTTTAAGTAAAGTAATAGAAACTTTTAAGGGGATTGGAAGTAAGTTAAATATGTGTCAGGACAAGTCAATGGGCATTTGAATTGGCTTTTATCTCTATCTTTGCTCCAGGACAAACCTCAGATGTTTGAATTAGCTACATAAAGAAAAATAACCTTAGAAACTAGCCCCTGGTATCTTATTTTAAGCCCTTAGTAAATCTTCCGTGAGTGCCAAATTCCTATTTTCAAATTGCTTTGTCAATTGAGGTCATATGCTCAACCTTTGATTGCTGAAGTGTATGCTGACTCCCCCCCTACATCATAAGGTTATGAATACACAATAATCAAAATTGGCCATTAAGTACTGCTTGTCTTCAAAAAAATAAAAAATAATAAAAAATATGTCCTAATAAGTTAATCTGTATCACTTATTGAAGAAATGTCTTGTTTGTTTGCAATTGCGTTGTCTCCTATAAGATAGATGGTTAAGATGTTGCAGATCAGTTCTGCTTTTGAAAACTTTTATAGTGGCTCCCTGTACTAACCCCAAAAAATAATGTAATCAATATTTTATGTTACATGATAATTTTTGCACATATTTTGAAACTTCTATGGCTACATATTTATTTGATGTTTCTTCTGTTTAGGTTGACAGAATTGATCTTACTTAGCTGAAAGTTTATGCAATTGATGTATTTGTTTTGTATTTGTTATGCAATTAATTTGGCCTCATAACTCTTACTAAATACCTCTTCATTTTGTTTTTTTTTTTTTAATGTGTTTGAAATTAGATTTCTCTACTGCAATTTTATTGTACAGTAGCTTGGATTGATTGTAAAGAAGATGCATAACTTGTGTTGAAAAATATATGAATGAGAATTACTATTTTTTGAAAGTAGTAGTAGCAGCAAGCTGCCAATAGTAACAGCAAGATGCCTAGTAGCAACAGTAGCAATAGGATACTGTTGTAGGATTTCCAATACTATTCAAATTGTTGCAGCTTGTTATAAGCTCTCTTTTTTAAATTTTAATTCTTATATATTATTCAATCATAGCATATACCGATTACAATCAAAACTAATAACATACTACATAAAGTGAAACTTCAAATTCAAAGCTTTTACGACTCGCTGTGTAATTGCCACAAGTGTTCGACAAGGACCAATTGGAGATAAGAATGTGTTTGCCTGTCTCTAATGTTATAATGACATTGAATGAATTCCATAAGTTCAGTAGTTCTCTCCTGTAACACCGTTACATGGGAACTATCATCGATTTGATCATAATTGAAGTCTTTTACTCCATGGTCACCCCGCTCATCCTCAATGATCATATTATGTAGAATTATGAATGCCTTCATAATATATTTAAGCATTTTAGTATTCCAAAAATGTGCCGGTCAACGTACAATTGCAAATCGTGCTTGACGCACTCCAAATGTACGCGCTGCATCCTTTCTTGTCGCCTCTTGAGTAGCAGCAAAAAGTTTTTTCTTATTTCCTTGAGGAGAAAGAATTGTTTTCACAAATGTTGACCATTGTGGATATATACCATCAGCGAGATAGTATCCCATTGTTTATTAATTACCGTTGATGGTGTAATTGACTGCAAGAGCACGCCCTTGAGCAAGTTAGGTAAATACAAAAGACCTTTTTAGCACGTTGATATCATTATGTGATCCAGGTAATCCAAAAAATGCATGCCAAATCCAAAGATCATATGATGCAACAGCTTCCAAAATAATTGTTGGTTCATGAATGTGTCCAGTATACATACCTTTCAACGTACTCGGACAATTTTTCTATTTCTAATACATATAATCAATGCTCCTCAACATCCCAAGAAATCCATGACTTTCACCAACCGCTAGCAGTTTAGTGATGTCATTGTTGTTTGGTGACCTCAAGTACTCATTAGAAAAAATATCAACAACTGCTTTAACAAAATATTTTAAGCTTTCTATTGCAGTGCGTTCTCCAATCCTCACATATTCGTCCATAAAATCAGCGGCTACTCCATAAGCAAGCATCCTAAGTGCAATAGTTATCTTCTAAAGCGAAGACAAACCAAGTTTTCCAGCACAATTTCTTTTTTGGAGAAAGTACGGATCGTGCGTTTCTACTGTAGCTTGAATTCGAAGAAAAAGTGAACGCTTTATTCGAAACCTCCTTCGAAATAGCTCAGGAGGATATATAAGCGATTCAGCAAAATAGTTGAGAAAAAGCCTTTCATGATCTTGAATATGGTCACGATGAATAACTTTATGACCTCGAACAGAACCATGACGTGAGCTTGATCCCATTTCACTATCTAGTAGTTCTTCATCCATAGTAACAGCTTTGAGCATCTCCAAATCATTATCAGATTCAGAGAAATCAGAGTCATTTACAAGCATATCATAAAGGCCATGTTTGTTTCGTTGATTAGAGTGTAAGATTGGACTAGTAGTGAAGTGGGGTCCATAATAACGTGTTTGTTTGCTTCCTTATTGAGTGGGACTGCTACTCCACCTGGAGTATTACTCTTACATCCCAGCCAAATTATCTTTCCCTTAGATGAGTTGGGATTGAAAATCAATCCCCTGGCTTAGAGATTGGAATACACCTTTGCCCTAAATTGTTGCCTATATGTATGTGTGTGTGTGTGTGTGTGTGTGTGTGTGTGTGTGTGTGTGTGTGTGCAGCAAGGAAATAGCGAGAAAAACACATCTTTGGTGGCAAGGAAACGACCAGAAATCTTGGCCAATGAGAACATCGGATCAACAATCAACTACGGTAATACTTGATTTTGTAAAAGAATTATCTTCTCTTCTCTTCTCCATTGATATACATGTGATGGTTAGGTTTTTTTTTTTATTGGTTCATGTTTCAATGGTTTGTGGGTTGATGGAGTGTTTATTGCGATTATTAGTCCAATTTTTGGGATTCTTGAAGGATTTTTTTCAAGAGGTACCGATTATAAATGTCTCTCTCTCTTTCTCCCTTCAAGAGGTACCGATTGTGCTTCTACTTGTGATTATTATTATTATTATTTGTAAACAACAAATGTATATATTTTGTTTGAAAAACAAGGGGTAAATTCATCCTCAATTTTGTTCTAGAAACTCTCTGTAATGGTTTTTGGAAGGTGAGGCTTTTATTCTTCTTTTTGATATATGTTTAAATATTTTACTTGATTGTGTCAATTTTCCATTATTTGTTATGGGTTGCACCTGGTTCTGTTATAGGTTTTCGACAATTGTAAGTTTATTTATATATTCTTTTATATTGGTTGGTAACGGAAGATTAATTGTTGCATGCTTGTTGTTTGTATGTTTATCAAAAACAATGTGGGCTTGATATCATTAAATATTTATTTCACTTTAGTTGAGTTTGATGGGTGATGTACACACCCCATTTTTGACCGTCCTCAAGACTTGGACGTCATCGTTTGAACACTCGATGATCATCCATATTTGTGTTCGCCTTGAGTTCTCGGAGGTCTCGGTCGCACGCCTTGCCTCAAAATCTCTCGACTTATTTGTTTTGTGCTTGGTTGGACCAAGGACTTGTGGTCTTTGCACCTAGGGCAGGAAATGGCTTGTTGGCCATCCCCACACCTCACCGGCCATAGCTTGGGGCCACCGGCCCTGTTTTCTTGCTACCGGCCCTGTTTTCTTGCTACCGGCCAAAGGTGTTGGCCGGTCAGCAATATTTTTAGTCGGCCGGCCATTGTTTTGATCAATCGGCCACTTTTTCTGGCCGAGACCTTTTCTTGAGGAGGTTTGAACCTTTTGAACCCTTGGTTTTAGCTTATTGAGGAAGCTTGAACCTTTTGAACCTTTGTTTTAGCTTCTCCAAGAAGCTTGACCCTTTTGTTTTGGCTTCTTAGAGAAGCTTGAACCCTTTGCTTAGCTTCTTGAGGAAGCTTGACCCCTTTGCTCTAGCTTCTTCAAGAAGCTTGGCCCTTTTACTACAAGCTTCTAAGAGAAGCTTGGCCCCTTTGTTGGACCTTTGTTCCTCTATAAAAGAAGAGCTCCTCTTCCATTGTAAGGGTTCCAAAAATTTTGCTAAGGCAAACAATATACATCTCTCTATATCTCTCTATTTTGAGCTCCAAATTGCTTGGTTCTTGGCCCCTTTGCACACCAACTCTTAGCCTAACACCTCCATCATCAACCTAAGCATCTTGGAGGCCATTTTCAGAGGCTAAGGGACTGGTTTTTGGTCCAAGAACCTGCTGGTTTCGCAGCTATGCATCAAGGGTGAGAAACACTCTCTTTATTCCCCATTTTTGCATAGACTTTTAGCCTATCTTGCATGATGTTTTGAGCTTAACTTATAACTGATAAAAGTTCTGTTTTTGAATGTTTGTGAAGTTTGTTTAAGATCACTTTTGTGTTTGGGGTTGTTTACCCCCTCTTAGGCCTTGTTTAGCCTCATTTTTGTGCCTTTTTTGTGAGCTTCGGGACCACCTTGTATTGGCCCTCTCACCACTGAAATCTAGAGGGATTTCAGTGGTGGGGATGGTGTTTTGAGGTCCTAAGAAGGAGAGGGGTGATCCTCTCCTTTGTTGTCTTATTTACTAGCATATTTAGCCTTCCAAAGGGGCCTATATTTGCACACTTCTTGAGCATGTTTCAGGCCTTTTTTAGTGAGTTTTAGGGCCAGCATAACCCCTTTCCAGAGTTGGCTTTGCCATGTTAGATGTCCTTCTTGCATGTGTAGAACAATCCCTTGCATGGCCTTCCAAAGGAACCCCTCATTCTAGCATGTATTGGACACATTTCAGTGGGTATTTGGTCATATTTTGGCATGCCATGAATCTGTTTTTGGCTGGTTTAGTGGCCCATTGAATGCTTCATATACATGTAGTGTAATCCATGCTTACTAGCCTATGTTGCATGTTGTTTTGGCCCTCCATTCTAGCATGTTTTGGCCATACTCCAAACATGTTTTGTTCATATTTTGGGCTTCCTTAGCTCTATTTTTAGGCCCCTTGGTCAATTGGTGCTTGCCATGCATGCTTGTAGTGTAATAGCCATGCTTAGCTTTGAGTTTTGAAGCCTATTGCATGCTTATATCGAGGTGTTTGCATGTTTTAATATCATTGTGTATGATATTTTAGAGCTTATACTTATGCCATACTCCCCTATTTTCCATGCTTTAAATGTGTTTGAGAGTTGTGCTTGTATGCCCCATTTATGAGCCTTTGCATGAGTTTCATTTAAATGCATTTCGAGCCACCATCTCATATCATTTTGCCACTGTTTTGGGGCTGCATAAGGTCTGTTTAGGGTTGGTTTCATCATTTGAACATAGCTTTGCATGACTATAGTGTAATGCACTTCACTAGTCTTTGGTGTTTGAGCCTTCTAGCATACATAGCATGAGTGTTTGCATGCTTCAGAGTCATTTTGGAATCATTTAGTATGCCATTTCAGAGCTGGAATGTATGCCATTGTATGCCATGTTTCATCCTTGCATTGCTCTTGGAAAGTTACATTTTGAGCCTTAGGCTTGGAGCCCTTGCATTGTGTATGCTTGCATGAATCTTGGCCCTTGTTCTCATCTCATATGGCCACTGATTTAGACATGGCTGAGGCTTGTCCGTATTAGTTTAAGTCCATCTTTTGCATGTTACTAAAATGTTGTTACATTGCTTCATGTTTGCATGCTTTGGTTGCATCGTGTCTTGCATGCTCATTGTTTGAATATTGTCACATGCTTGCATGTTTGCATGTTTGTCCACATGTTCATGTTGCATACTTAGCTCGCATGCTTAGGTTGCATAGCATATCATGTATCTCTTGCCTCTTGATCAAACCATGATAGAGGTTGGAGGCGTCTTGTTTGTTTTGTGTGCATTTCATTTGACATTGAAATTGTACACTTTGGCTTCTCGAGCCATCATGCATTGAAATGCGTGATTGGTGGCCCGAGGACCGAGGGCCACACTCCCTTGAGTCTATAACATGATGGGGAGGGTGGTTGTGCAAACATTTGCTTTAAAAATGCATTGCCATGCCTTGTCTGTCCTCTGCTGTTGTCAAACAGGGTTCTGCAGGAAGAAATGGCCGACCGACCACATTCAGTGCCGGTCGGCCATGAATCGTTGGCCGAGAGCCTCACAACTAGTCGATGACCACTTTTCCATAGCCGGTGACTATCTCTCTTGGCCGATAACATCCCACAGTGTTCAGGGAGTGTTCCAGAACCAACCTTGGGACTTGTGCAGTTTTCAGAGGTACAAGGCAGTGTAAACAGAGGCAACTGTGGCATGGCAACGGGTTTCCAGACGAGGCAAATCGAGCATGCATCATCCCATCATTCCGAGGCGGGGCTGCGGCCACATTCTTCCTGTAATTAATTAGAAGTTTTGTAATATTTAATTAACTAGAGTAGTTAATTATTTATTTGGTTTGTATTATTTATTCGGACCCTCCGAGCGAGGGCAATGTTGTAATAAGTGTGTGTGTGTGTGATGTATGTCTTTCAACCCCACGTCTTTCTCCCTTTTATTTACCAGCTTATGATGGTTAGATTAGGGCACGTTTCAATTAGCATACTTATGCTCGCATGTTTGCATTCACTCATTTGTCTTGCATGCACCGGGCTCGGCGCATCATACTAACTGCATTGTATTTCAATTCCGAGTTGAATACATGCTATCTGTGCATCTCACATGCCATCTTAGAATAGCTGAGCCTATCTTAGTTGCATCTTGCATGTGTTGCATTAGCCATCTTAACATGAACTAGGATCATGCATTGATTACTAACTAATTTCTGTTTTGGCTCGGAGTACTCGGTGAATGCTTATGCTTTAGCATCCTTGCATGTGTGTGAGTGACTGCCATGATAGCATGCTTACTATGAGGCTAACTGATTATGTGATATAACTGCATGAATGCTTATGGGTGAAGGTTGGGTTGCTTGAGTTGGAATAATTCGTCGAAACCCGTGTTTTAGCCTACTTACGGGTAGCAAAATTCAATCCATTTTCAAAACAAACGGATGTGCGATGCTTTGTTCCAACTTAGGCAATCTAGTCTATACTTGTATGTTGTGTGCATCACGCAGTAATTCTAGGCTAATAAACCAGAATAAGAGCACATAATGTTTTCAAAAAATCGATATCATGGTTAATAGAGGCCGATCTTTGATCGGGCGAGCGGAGGTGCTCATAGCTGACCTTCCCCAATCGTACCCAAGTTCCCGAGCCAAGACAACTTTGGTGATGAAGGACACGTGGCCTTAGGCAACGAGTTAGGGTTTCCTAAATTCTCCAAAAATAAATATTTAGGTGGTGACTCTGTATTTGGCAAAGCAGTCCATGCTTGACACTTCTTTTTAAAAATCTGTTTTTCAAAAAACGATTTGCCGGATTTGGACTCTTTGGTGATTTATCAATCTCA